GTGGTGGTGATGTGGGGGTATGAGAAGATGAGGGGATGGGGGAACGGAGATGAGGGGGCGGGGGAATGAATGAGGAAATGGGGATGTGTGTGCTGAAATCTAACGATGACTATTATCATCGTCGTAGTCCAAGAGATGTGTGCAATACTTGTTTTTTTTTGGAATGCGTGCGTGCCGCGCATTCATTCGGACACGATTGTTGTCGATCTTGCCCTTTATTGGGCAGGCATGTTGCTGCTTCTGACGGTGGGGCAGCTCGCCTGAAAAAGAACATGCCAGCCGCATGCTTCCCGCCCGTGGTCGTGGACAACATGCATTGTCCCTGTCCTTCTTCTTTTCTCTGTACTTTCCTCACCACGTGAAGTCTCCTCAGGACAATGCTACTTGTACAGATGGCGCCCGCACTTAAGAACCGCTTATATTGGCCAAGGCTCGATGCTTATGGCTGCCTCAAAATGAGCACCTGTTCTTGTTTTCAAAGTGCTCATTTCGAGCAGGCATATCAGAATGATACCCGAGGTTCTTGTTTATATTTTTACGCCGAGGGCCCCATTCAGAGGGCGTTTTGTTTTTTCTGGGTGGATTGCGCCTAACACTTGAGAGCAGCGTGTTCAAATGCATAAAACAGAGTACAGTAACAGAACCTCGCTCAACAGCGACCTCTGGAATCGAGTTAAACAGACGCGGTATCGCCTGAATTAATGTCGCATCTGTGCAAACACGTTGAACCTTTTAGAGGTCCACAAGGGTCACGTTCGGGTGATTGTCCTCCCCGCTCTATCTACTTACGCCCGTCGTAGCTACATTGCAACCTTCACTCGAATGCCGGACCTCATCCATCCCTGCTCTAAGGCGCGCCCTCCTCAAGCAAAGCCCACGACCCTACCACCGCACCCGCATCTCCACTGTGCTTGTCCAACGGCATCATGCGGCGCGTACTTTGGTCTACTGTACATGTGGCTCGAAATGCACACCGTAGTCGTAAACAGTGGCGGGTACGCTCCTGAGACGGCCGAGTGATCAGCTCACCAAATCAGCCCATGCTCAGTTTTACGAGTACTCCACATACAGGAACGAACTGTCAAGAGCAGCGGGTTCAGACGCTTGAATTCGAAAATCCGTGGGTGCGACGAAGGAAGAGGTGTCGGAAAGCTTTTGTCGCCCCCCGTCGACTCGATGGCCTCCCAGTCTGACTTCGTGGGCAGTTGCCAGCAATGGCATGTTCTTTGATGGCCTCTAGTCTAAGTGTAGATCAAGAAATACACCTCCTTTCAACTTTGACAGATGGCCGAGCTCTTTCAATATTCCAAGGGGTATAGACAT